GAGGTCAGTTGAGGTTGAGATTCCAACTGTCGTACGTACGTCGTATCGAGTTAGTTGAACAAAATTTTTACTCATGCTACAAAAATGGTATCATCGTGTACATATTGTGGTTCAAAACAAGGGATCGAGGGTAGAACACATCATAAGTAAGTATATAAGTTACATATCTACATATTTATGCCTTACAGGTTATGTAAATTTTTTATTGCATTTAATGTCATATCTTTTTCAAAATTAATATTGTGGAATATTTTTTGTGAAGGTTTCCTCTGAAAGATAAGGAAATATTGCAGTTATGGTTGCAGAACATGAATCTCGGATCAAAGTTTGTACCAAAGAATCATTCTTTATTATGTTCAGACCACTTTGAAAAAAAATGTTTTCAAGAAGGAACAAATAAGAAATGTTTACGCATTGGTAGTATTCCAACATTATTTGGAGAATACAAATCAGTTTGCGTTTATTGTCATGCAGTAAAAGGTCATGATAAAAAAAGATCATTCCGCAAGTACGAAATGTTTTCGCATATATTTTACGTATAAGAAAAACTGTATAATTGTACTGTTTATCTGGATTTATCTTTATCTGGAAATATATTAGTATTTAAACTTGTAAATACTGTTTTAACAGATTTCCCTTACATAATTCTGAATTATTGGAGAAATGGGTAGCAGCAATGAAGTTAAAAGATTTTATTCCAAATGAAAAAAGTTTGCTGTGTAGTGACCATTTTGATGAAAAATGTTTGCGATCCTCAGGTCGTGGTTTAATTCTAAAAGCAAATGCAGTGCCAAATTTGTTCTCGTCTTTGGATGGTGAAGGTATAATAATATATTATATATTTTAAAATTGTTTTGATGGTAATTATTTCATTTAAATGTCAAGAAAAAACTTTTTAGATAAAAAATAATTAAATATACATTTATATGTGTAAATATATACATATATACATATCAATTTTTTACATTACATTTTAATTTTTACTTTGCAGTTTGTGAAAATCTGCTTCTTATATAATTGTACATACTTAACATTGGAATTTATATTTTATGTATTACTTACATTATATATATTGTAATATCATATTCAATATTTTTATTTACATTTATAACAATTTTTGATTTTTAATGTATTACTTTATTAGTTGTATTACTTATTGCAAAAAGTTTGAAAATAAAAATTTTGAAAAAAATCATCGACTTTTAATTTTTTTCTACAAAACATATTTTTAACATATTTTCCTATATATTGTTCATTTAGAATTATTATATTTTTAATATTATTTTATATTTATGCACATTTACTCATACTACTACCTTTTCTACTTGTAAACAATAAAAATATTTTTTAATCGTTGTTTATATTATTACCGTCATTTGAATTTTACCGCCGAAAGATGCATATTTTACTGTATCAAATATGGCTGCCGGGTCTTCAAATCGTAACACACATTTTGTACAGCATACGCCATCCAGTGTAATATAGAGATCAGTGGGTGATTTCACGACCATTGTATTCTATCAAAAAATCTGTGATCAAGATGTCATAGTTAAGGCATGTCACACAAGATGTCACGTTGATGCAAAATCCCAAGTAAAAAAGAATAGAAGATATGGATAGATGTGGATAGAAAAGGATAGATGATGAATTTCTAAAGCACATCTATATATAATTATAGTCTTAAATAATACAATTTTTTAAATAAATTTTTAACATTGTGTATAAAAATATATATTACTGACAAAATATTTTTATTTTTTATAACAAATTATTCTTAGTTAAATTTGCAGAAAAATAATTAATAATGTATTCCAGTCTTTATAGAAAATTAAGTTTCTTTAAGAAAAAGAATATTTATAATTAAGTTCCGCAGGACAATAAAATTTTAATAAAATTTTTATATATGTATATATTTCAAGTCGCTCAACACGTAGCCACCTAGCGGTTCAATGTGGAATAATGACAAAAAAATCACAAAAATTTGTTGCCGTGCAACCACCTTATATTCTTACACCGTGCTCAATGCCTTGTGTCCCATGGAGCCGTAATTCCATGAAATTTCCGTAAAAGTTACTACAAGTTACTAGTTATTACTAGTAATTCTTTTTCTAATTTTATTTATTTAACTAAATTTGACGATTTAATTAAAACTTTTGTTAAAATCATAATATATTCTATAGTTTTCTTATGAATAAAATACAAATAAACAATTATAATTTGTTAAATAAAAAATAATACTACCGTTACGTCTGTATTTACGGCTCCATGGGACACAAGGGGCGGTATTCATAGTCCGTTCTTATATTTAAAATCGTCTTAAGCACGGACTTATATTCGCTCTCTTCGTCACACATAGATTGTGTCTGACGAAGAGAACGAATATAAGTTCGTGCTTAAGACGATCTTGAATATAAGAACGGACTATGAATACCGCCCAAGGAGATAAAAACATTCGTAACGTTACGGACGAAATACCTAGTAACTTTTGCGGACTTCCGGTGCGGATTACGGATTACGGGTTGTTTGTGACGCCACCCTTAGGGTGCCGTCACATGCGGCGTAACTTGCGTAAGCGTAACCCGAGTATTCTAGTAACTTTATCAAAAATTACGCATTCTGAAAATCGGCATTCACATGGGGCGTACTTTGCTGAAATGTTAAAAATGCGTAACTAATACAACCAATTGCTGATTAGAGTTTCTGTTGTACACTTTAACAGAAATACTAAAGAAATTTATGATTGGTTTTCGTAACTTACGCATCTGGAAAAGTACCCGTCATGGGGAACCGATATTCTGTATACGAGTATATGTGAAGCGGAATATATGTAATATTTATAAAGTAAATCTGATTTAGTACACCTTGTATGTTCTTGAGGTTATGTAAAAAGATTATCGGTGATATTGATAGACTCATCATTCCAGAAGGTACTAATTTATATTCATGCTAATTACGTTATAATTAATAATTCATTAAGTTAATATTCAAATATTAATTTTTTATATATTAGTAGATGATTATGAGCTCAGAAAAGTGTATAATAAATCCTGATTTAGTATTATTAATCTTAATTAATCGAAACAATGACAAAGGTGAAAAAGCACTCTTTTCACGCTGCATCACCTACACCACCACACACTTTAGTTGCGCTTTTTTCTTTAATTCAGCGTAACATAGGGCGGTATTCATAGTCCGTTCTTATATTCAAAATCGTCTTAAGCACGGACTTATATTCGCTCTCTTTGTCACACATAGATTGTGTCTGACAAAGAGAGCGAATATAAGTTTGTACTTAAAACGATCTTGAATATAAGAACGGACTATTAGCGTTTGT